CACATTCTGAGCACAAGTTCAAGAAGCAATAGTTTAAAGTTCACAATTATGAGCAAAGCTAGTGGTAGTCACAACGGACAAGTGAGGAGGAGGAGAGAGAGTGAGAGGAGAGAAGATAGGAGGCGACGGCTGAAGCTGCAGACACACGGGCAACAGGAGGCAGACTGGCACAGCGGCTACCGGGCGAAGCCCCCGGACTACTGGAGTAACTGGCCCCGCGGCTAACGTAGCGACAGACGAGCAACGGACCCACGGGCGGCTGGCACAGCTGGCTACGACTGGGCTACCGGGCGAAGCCCCCGGAATACAGGTGCTGCTGACGACACGACGGCAACCTCCATGCAGCTTCCCTAACTATCCAACTCCCCCTGGCACACACCCGCTGCTACACCGCTAGCTTCACTCCCACGCACCCCCCTTAAACCCTAAACCCCAGTCTCCCACACATCCACCCCCCTCAGCGACAGCTGCAGCAGTGGGAGACGAAGGAGGAGGAGGAGCAAAGGGAGGAAGGCACAACTGCCACCCCCATACCCGCCACCCCCTACTCGCCACCCCCTACTCGCCACCCCCTAGGTCGCCTCTCAGACGACGAGAAAAGGGGGGGGGGGGGGGGGGGGGGGGGGGGGGGGAAACGTGCCGGGTAGGGCGAGGGGGTCGGGCCTGTAGGGCAGCGTGGGTAGGGTCGCCCGAGCCGCGCGCAGGGGGCCCGAGCCGCGCGCAGGGGGCCCGAGCCGCGCGCGGGCCTGGCGACGCCCGTATGGGTCGCGCGCGGGCCTGGCGCAGCCCGTACGGGTGGTGCGCGGGCCTGGCGCGGCCCGTACGGGCCGCGAACGGGTCAGGCGTGACCCGTACGTGCCACGCGCAGGCCACGACGGGCGATGGGGGGGCGACGAACGGGTCCCCGTCGCCCGTCGCGGCGCCGCCCAAGGGCGACGCGCCGGTCAACGGGGCAGAAGCCCGCCGCGCGCCTCGGGGCGCACAGCGGGCAGAGAACCGCCGCGCGCCTCGGGGCGCACGGCGGGCAGAAAAACCGCCGCGCGCCTCGGGGCGCACGGCGGGAAGAAAAATGCCGCACGCCACGGGGCGTGCGGCTCAGAGGGTAGTTGCAGTAGTAGCAGCGGAAGCGAGAAGGTGGTAAGCCCACCGAAAGGATCGATCCAAGGGGATCGACCTGCTCTGATAGCATGTGAAAATTAGAAGAAAGAAAGAGAATTGAACTAGCAGGAATGAGGATACAAATAGCAAACCCTAGAAGGGTTGTACTCGCTATAGAGCACCCCACTACAGGCTAGAACATAAGATAACATTCTGACATGTTTAAATGTAGCTACTGTAATGCTGAATACGCCTCCTCGTCGCCAAGTTCCCATCCAACCCACGCATGATGGTGTGCAAGCGCGTGGTGGCATTGGAGGGGAGTGAGGTGCATGCCATGCCTCCTCCACCCAGAGGGATGGTGATTGGGGGACGCGGCAAGCACGCAGAAACACATGCAGTGGTGAGTGTCGCTGCTGTAGTGGTTCGTGAGTGCTGTAGTGGCGCCTGTAGTCGCCTACTCTCCCCCCATCCAACCCGCGCATGATGGTGTGCAAACGGATCGTAGCGATGGAGGGGCATGATGTGCATGCCATGCCTCCTCCTGCGGCCAGAGGGTTCATGGGTGGAAGTGGAAGAGGCAAGCATGCGGAAACACACACAGTGGTGAGTATGGCTGCTATAGGAGTGATTATGATGTGATTTCTCACCTGTAGTCGCAAGTCCCCCTGTAACCCGTGCATGATGGTGTGCAAGCGGATCGTAGCGATGGAGGGGCATGAGGTGCATGCCATGCCTCCACTGTCCAGGGGGTTTATGGGTGGAAGTAGAGGAGGCAGGCATGGGTGTAAGTAGAGGAGGCAGGCATGGGTGTAAGTAGAGGAGGCAGGCATGGGTGTCAGTAGAGGAGGCAGGCATGGGTGGACGTAGAGGAAGCAGAGGAGGCATGCACACACAGTGGTGAGTATAGCTGCTATAGAGCTCGTGGTGATTCAGACCTGTAGGGGCAAGTGTCCCAATTTCAACCCGCGCATGATGGTGTGCAAGTGCGTGTGGTGGCGATGGAGGGCACGAGGTGCCTCAAAAAATATTTTTGAGTCGACTCAAAATACGATATCTGAGGCGTTTTAAGAGATGTATGCAGTGGTGAGCGAGTATGACATGGGTTTCTTTGACTCCTGTTGCCATGAAGTGCATGCCATGCCTCCTCATGGTGAGTAAGTATGGCATGCGGTTTCTGAGGCGTTTCTAAAGTTGTATACAGTGGTGAGCGAGTATGACATGGGATTCCTTGACTCCTGTTGCCATGAAGTGCATGCCATGCCTCCTCGTGGTGAGTAAGTATGGCATGCGGTTTCTGAGGCGTTTATGAAGATGTATACGGTGGTGAGCGAGTATGACATGGGATTCTTTGACTCCTGTTGCCATGAAGTGCATGCCATGCCTCCTCGTGGTGAGTAAGTATGGCATGCGGTTTCTGAGGCTTTTCTGAAGATGTATACGGTGGTGAGCGAGTATGACATGGGTTTCTTTGACTCCTGTTGCCATGAAGTGCATGCCATGCCTCCTCGTGGTGAGTAAGTATGGCATGCGGTTTCTGAGGCGTTTCTGAAGATGTATACGGTGGTGAGCGAGTATGACATGGGATTCTTTGACTCCTGTTGCCATGAAGTGCATGCCATGCCTCCTCGTGGTGAGTAAGTATGGCATGCGGTTTCTGAGGCGTTTCTGAAGATGTATACGGTGGTGAGCGAGTATGACATGGGATTCTTTGACTCCTGTTGCCATGAAGTGCATGCCATGCCTCCTCGTGGTGAGTAAGTATGGCATGCGGTTTCTGAGGCGTTTCGGAAGATGTATACGGTGGTGAGCGAGTATGACATGGGTTTCTTTGACTCCTGTTGCCATGAAGTGCATGCCATGCCTCCTCGTGGTGAGTAAGTATGGCATGCGGTTTCTGAGGCGTTTCTGAAGTTGTACACAGTGGTGAGCGAGTATGACATGGGTTTCTTTGACTCCTGTTGCCATGAAGTGCATGCACATTGAGGCATGTTCCCTGCACCTTCGATGCACTTTCCTTGCACCTTCCCTGCACCTTCCCTGCACGTTCGCAGCACCAACCACCGCCCTTCCCCTGTTCTGCCAGCACCAGCTCTCTCCTGTTGTTCCCGCTACCGCACCAACTTCCCTCCACCGCACTGCACTCCCCTCTACCCCATCAGGTCCCACGAGGGCATGTGTGGTTGCAAGGAGACAATCTCTTCAACTCCACTGACTCTCGCCACTACGGCCCCGTGCCGCTTGCTCTGGTCAAGGGACGAGTGTTCTACAGAGTGAGTGAGAGGGAGCAGAGGATATAGGGAGAGCATAGAATGGAGAGCACATGTAGTTAGTTGCTAGGCCACTATTTCTTCAACTGCAAAGACTCTCGGCAGTGTGGCCCGGTGCCCCTTGCCCTTGTCAAGGGAAGAGTCTTCTACAGAGTGAGCGAGGGGGAGTGAGTCTATTTTTGAGGCGCCCCAGAACTAGTCTTCTACAGAGTGAGTGAGCGGGAGTGAGAGAGAGTGAGGGCGAGAAGAGCATAGAGGGATAGCATAGAAGGGAGGCCACGTGTTGCTGCAAGGAGACAATCTCTTCAACTTCACTGACTCTTGTCGTCACTAAGGCCCTGTGCCCCTTGCATTAGTCAAGGGAAGAGCCTTTTACAGAGCGATTGAGGGGGAAGGGAGGATAAAGGGAGAGGGTTGAAAGCTACAAGACAGAGCACGCGTGGCTGCAAGGAGACAATATTTTTAATTCCACTGACGCTCGCCACTACGGCCCCGTGCCCCTTGCATTAGTCAAGCGCGGGTCTTCTACAGAGTGAGTGAGGGGGAGTAGAGGATAGAGAGAGAGCATAGAATGGAGAGCGCGTGTGGCTGTGGGGAGGCGATCTTTTCAACTCCACCTACTCTCGCTCGCCACTACGGCCTCGTGCCCCTTGTGTTAGCCAAGCGCGGGTCTTCTACAGAGTGAGTGAGGGGGGGGGGGGGAGGAGTAAGGGATCACAGCCTCTCACTTCAGAGTCCACTTGGCCTATGGGCTACGACCGGTCACATGCCCCTTGTGTTAGCCAAGGGCAGGTCTTCTACAGAGTGAGTGAGGGGAGTAAGGGTTCACAGCCTCTCACTTCAAAGCCCACTTGCCCTAAGGGCTACGACCAACCCCGTGCCGCTTGCCCTGGTCAAGTGCAGGTCCTCTACAGAGTGAGTGAGAGGGAGTAGAGGATAGAGGGAGGGCGTAAAAGGGTAAAGGGCAGAACATGTGCCGCCCTTGCATTAAGGGAGGCTCTTTGACAGAATGTCGTATGGGGGAGAATTAATTGCAGAAAGGTAGGAAGAGGTGTGTTGTTCTACAGAGTGACTCAGTGAGTGAGTGGAGTGCAAGGTAGGGCAGTGGGTAGGTACATTGATGTTAAATAGCAGGACCATAGTTATCCGCTTTTTTTGGGCGGGGGTGGGTGGGAGAGGGGAAGAAGGGGGAGGGGGGATGGGTTCATTTTGCTTCTTCCTGTATCCCCCAATTGAACTGGCTGCCCTTTATGTCTTCATCCCCCCTTCCCCAGATATGGCCTCCCAGGGATTGTGGTCCAGTGCGATGAAATGAATCCTTCCTCTGGAGATTCGCGTTGAGAACACCAGCTGGCAGCTTCCCCTCATTCTTCCCCACCGAGTAAAGTCCAGATGCAATTGTGTTTACTGTTAACCAAATGTCCGGTAAAGCTAGGCAAGATATACATCTATTTTGTGGCACACGCTTAACCCAAGATACAGAGCAGGTCACATATCTTTGTACCAGAAAAGTAGTTAGTTAATAAAAGGTTTCGAACATGAGGAGCATGCAGCTTAAATGGCATAAACATATGAATTTGCTTTCAGCCCACCATACAATACAACCCACTGTCAGTCCTCCGAGTCAGTTCTTTACGGGAATTCCTGCACGGGCATCACCTTCCTGGCGCGGCCATACGCGGTATAAGCGCAGTCCACAGCAAGCACATCGCTCGCCTCGTAGGACCGGGGTGTCCCATCCAAAAAGCCCTTCCCCTCCGCGCCATCGGCGGAGATCGGACGGTGCAGGTTCGCGACGAGGCGCTGGAAATCCGCGGCGCGGGCAGCGTGGTCTGCGCGGTATGTTTGCCCGAGCACACCGTGAATCTCCTCCGTATGCTCGAGCTCGGCAATCCCGACGTTGATGTGCGCCTCGGCATCCGTGGGGGTCTGGAGCTTGGGATGCGCGACGCGCAGGCGCAGGTCGAGGGTAATTAACCCTGCGATGGACAGCATGTAATAATCCACATCGAACGGCCCCTCCTTCTCCAACCCGCGGAATTCGATCGTCAGTCCACCGTCGCTGGTAACCCTATCGCCAACCTGCATGCGCGGAATCTCCTCGCCGTCAATCTCGATGCTCTTCACGAACCCGTCGCCGCGCTCCTGCTGCTTGCCGCCGCGCGCCGCGATCCGGAACTTACGGTCCACGCCTCCAGCCGTCCACACAATACCCAGCTCCTTAATCCACGTGTGCACGGCCTTCCCGTCAACAACAAGTGCCGCATTATCGGTGTTCTCGTCATAAATAACCCTCAGGAGCATGTTCATGTGAAGGTTCCTGTCGGTGAGCAGGCAGAACGCCTTGTCGGGCCGGCCGTTGAAGTCGAAATGCGTGCCTTGCGCGCCGACCAGATGCGGGTCGTTAAGAATTTTCGGGCTAGGGTTACACTCGCCGCCGATGCGCACCTGGAGATGCACGGGCTTCGTCTCGGTACTGTACTGCGCGGTCATCTCACCGCACGTGAAATCAATCTGGTCGTGAATCAAATAGCACGCGCCTTTGCCCTTCTTCCCGTCGATGGTAATATCGGGAATGTACTGCCAATACGTGCAGAGCGGGGTCGCGGCGCAGGTGTTGCAGCACGACGCGGGGTTCGCCTTGAGCAGCGTCAGCGGTTACCCGGTACGTACAATTCGTAACCGAGCTTGTTCTTCTGCAGATACGCGGTTTTCCACTTGGCCGCAATTCCGCCCTTGGAGCAATTTTTCGGAGTGCACGCGCCCGCAAGCTCCTTGTTCAGACCGGGGGGCATTTCTGCGCGTTCCACCCGGCCTTTTTCACGTCAGCCATGAAAAACGAATCCTGCGCGGTATCGACGTATGTTACACCTGCCGCGTTACCCGTCGCAGCCTGTTTCGCGATGTCTTGCGGAATGTCTGTCATGAGCCCGTCGTCCTTCTTTCCGCTCGGATCGGGTTTCTCATTCGCGGAGGAGCTCGTGATGGGGCTTCCGGCGCGCGCGAAGACGACGAGCAGCGCAAGGGAGAGCACTAGAAGCGCAGATCGAGCCATTCTGACGAGCTACTACTAAAGTGTGGACGATTGGGCGCAAACAACTTTACTGGTTTCAACTCAGTTGCCTCGATTGCGTTGTTTGCAATTCACTATGATCAAATTCCGATTGAGGGGTGAATTTATATGCGTCATATCCACTGAAGTGCTTTGGCATTCCTGCGTTGGGATTGGTTGGATGACGTCCAGGGAGCGAGGTTGATGCGGCGCGGTGCTTGTAACAATGAAGATCGAACCGCAGGTTTCTGAGTCAATTCGACCTGACCTCGAGGCTCGGTGATTTCAACCTGTAAAGCGACCTGGTTCTCCGTTGGATTCAAGCGCAGGTGTGACCTTCACCATGTGCGTGGTTGAAGGACGGAAGCGCAGGTACAACCTTCACCATGTGCGTACAGTATCTCTTGGATTGTGCGTGCATCTACCCCTCCACTTCTCGAACAGCCTCTTGCTGCCGAGTACCGGAACTATACCATTTCTCCTGTCTCAAGAGTGATCTTGTGTTACGGGTGCAATGAATCGAGGTAGCGAGAATTGCACTAAGGTGTCAAACGAGTACAAAGATGTGAGCGAAGGCATGAGCGAACATTTATATGCAAAACATGCAAACCGTAACGCGGTGCGTGCGAGCTAGCTAGTGCTATGCTGGCAGCGAGGCTCGGGCTAATCCCGAAGCGTAGGCCGACACGGCCGGGCCAGCAGTGCGAGGCTTGGCAAAACAGTGCGCGCGAAGTTGGCGAAGTTCCGTTAGCAGTAACGGGCGAACAACGGTTGTTGTCGTACGCGATGTAGTCGGGCTCCGTAAGGAATGCCGATAAAATTCCTTACACTACCTCCCCCCCTCAAGAAGCCCCCTCCGCTACGCGAGTGCGTGTATATCGCGGAATCCCCGGCTCCTCATGTACACTTGCAGGGCAGGGTGGTTTTCAATGTTGGCCAGAGGCACCCAGCTATCTTCAGTTGGCGTGCGGTCCTTCCAGCGAACGAGGAATTCAATCCTTCTGATTCCCGTGGGGTGTCGAATCCGATGGCTCAGGATTTTTTCGGGCTCGATGATCGGCTCCGATGTAGGGCGAGTCATGGATGGCGGGCAGTGGCGAGGCAGTTGGCTTGTGGTTGGGATGTATGGGCGAAGCAAGCTGACGTGGAACGAAGGGCTGATATACCAGTCGGTCTGTAACAGTAGGTGCGCGGTTACTGGCGTGATCATTTGGCTGATTTGGAATGGGCCACAGTAGCGCGGCCGAAGTTTCGGTACGTCGGGCAGTCGCAGATTTTGTGTGTCGAGCAGTACGTAATCCCCTGACTGGTATGTGACGGGGCGGCGGTGGCGGTCAGCGTTGCGCTTAGCGATGACGTTTGCTTTTTTAATTGCTTCCGCGGCTCTGGTGTGGGCAGCTTGCAGAATTTCAGCGAATTGTTGCGCACGTGGTGTCGGGTTGTCCGGACTCGGCGTCATGGGCACTGTAGGGTTTTGCCCGTAGTTCAGGTAGAAGGGTGATTGCTGCGTCGTCGCTGACGTGGCATTGTTGTACGCGAACTCGATCAGCGGCAGCTGCTGTTCCCAAGTCGTGGGGTCGTCGCACGTGGCACGAATCAACTGCTCCATCGTTTGATTCGTCCGCTCCGTTTGGCCGTCGGTCTCCGGGTGGTACGACGAACTGGACTGTAGACTGGTCCCGAACTGCTCCCAGAGGTTTTTCCAGAAGTTGTTGGTAAATTTCGTGTCCCTGTCGCTGATAATCGCTGCTGGTATCCCGTGCAGGCGAACAACGGCTGCGATGAACAGGCGAGTGGTCTCCTCGGCTGAGATCGACTTTTGCACGCAGCGAAGTGTGCCATCTTCGTCAGCCTGTCAACGACGACCATCACCGCGTCGTTACAAAGTCCATGGTAACCTGCTGCGAGGCGCGATCGGGCGGTGGTATCGGCTGCAATTGACCCGCCTTCCGCTTCCTTGAGCTCTTCATCACCTGACACGTGGGGCACGAGCCCACGTGTTGTTGTACGTCGGTCAACAGCTCCGTCCAGTAGTAGTACCGCTGCAGTTGCTGTCGCGTTTTTTTTCTACCCCAAAATGTCCCGAGGTAATTCCGTCGTGTGCCTCCTGGAGTAGCAGCTCCCTCAGTAGTGCGTACGCGGGTACCTAGATGCGGTTGGTGCCTGTTTTTTCGTAATAAACTCCTTTAGCTTCTGCCAGTTGCTGTGAGTTTCAAGTCGTGAAAAATGGGTCGGTGCGGTATCCGTGGTGAATAGGCCTGTTAAAAGTGGGTTGGTTTGAGCGAGTAGGATGGCGTGGGAGTTGGGCGGTGGGGCGGGTTGAGTGCGTCGGCGATGTTGGAGGCGCCTTTTTTGTACGTTTCCGTGTAGTGGAAGTTGGACTCGAGGTAGTCCAACCAGCGAATCTGTCGCGGATTGAGATTTGGTTGGGCGCGTAGGTACTGTAGTGATCGGTTGGTCTGTCCGTACTGTCACGTCGGCGCCAGTCAGGTAACACCGCCAGACTTTGAACGCCTGTGCACGATCGCCAACATTTTGCGGTCGTGTATCGGGTAGTTGTGTTCGGGCGGGTGCAGCTTGCGGGACTCGTACGCGATTGGCTGGAGGCCGTCCCCGAAATCCTGCAACAGTAGTGCTCCCACAGCGATGTCACTTGCGTCAGTGACGAGCTCGAACGGACGGTGTGGATCTGCGATGTGAAGCACGGGCGGTGAGCACAAAATGTTTTTGAGGGCCGAGAAGGCAGCTTGCTCTTTCTTTCCCTACGTGTACTCAACCCCCTTCCTCAACAGGTCGGTCAACGGGGCAGTCAGCTTCGCCATGTCGGGGACGAACCGGCGCACGTAGTTGAGGAACCCCAAAAAACTCTGCAACTCGGTCAAGTTGTTCGGCGCGTGCCACGCTTGAATCGTCGCAATTTTCTTCGGGTCTATTTCCACTCCTGCAGCTGAAATAACATGTCCCAAAAACTCCAGGCGGTTCTGTAAAATTCACACTTAGACGTTTTTGTCAGTAGGCGGTTTCTCACTCAGTAATTTAAAAACTGCTTCGATGTCCCTGTAGGTGTTGTGCTCTGTCAGGGCTGTAAATCAGTATGTCGTCCAGGTATACGATGACGCACTTATCTAAGAGCGGGCAGAAAGCCTCGTTCATGGTCATTTGAAAAGTGGCGGGGGCGTTGGTTAGTCCAAAAGGCATGACGGTGTATTCGAAGGATCCGTATCGTGTTCTGAATGCGGTCTTAGGGCAGTCGGGCGGATTGACGCGAATCTGGTGGTAACCTTCGCGGAGATCGATTTTCGAGAAAACCCGGGCTGTGCGCAGTTGGTCGATCAGTTCGTCGGCTCGTGGGATGGGGTAACGGGATTTGATGGTAACACTGTTCAGTTTTCTGTAATCTATGCACATTGCGAAATCCCCCGTCTTTTTTTCGGTGTGAACAATAATCGGTGCTGCGAAGGGCGAATGAATTCCTTCTCGAGCAGGTAATCGAGCTGCTTCCTCAGTTCGTCCAGTTCGGGCTGGGCCAGTCGGAACTGTCGCTGTACTGTTGGCTTGTGCCCCCGGTTCTAACTCTATCCTGTGGTCGTGCGGTCGCTGAGGTGGCAGTCCCGTCGGTAAATGTCGCTGTACTGCTCAACAGTGCTGCCAGGTCACTCGGTACGTCGGCCAGTAGTTTTTGTAAATCCCCTCCTTTGTCTACTGCCTCGACTTCCCGAATGTCGACCGCGTACACGTCAGCTCCTGCCGCTCCTGCGCGTTTCATCGTGATCGCGTTGACACGCACCGACGAAGACTCAGGCGAGCCCCAGCGAGGTAAGGCGATGTTGTTACCGTTCACTCGCACGGTGCAGTCACCCGTCGTCCAGTCGATTCGCGGATTGTGTCGTCGCAACCAATCACGCCCGAGTAGAATATCGGTTTCGTCGAGGGTCGTTGCGAGCATTTCCTGGCTAAATGTGAAGTTACCCCCGCATCGAATCCGAACCCGGTCTACGCGTTCCCGTATTGCCAGCGGCGTGCCGTCTACCAGTCTTGCATCGATCTCAGGTAAGCATTTGTCCAGTGGTAGTCGCAGTTTTCGTGCTGTGGCAGTGTTGATGAGGCTGTGGCTGGCTCCCCCCGTCTACGAAGATTTTTACTAAGTCCATCCCGATTTTCCCACTAAGCAGCATGGGGCTGTCTACCGTAGTACCCTCCTTATTCGGCCGGGTGTGGTCGATTGCGTGAAGCGGCACAATCACTCGGTGAGGGTCGGTTGGGTCGGCGCGAGCGGCGTGACCTGTCAGTAGAGGGCCCGTCTGCTACTGACTCCCAGCGTTTCCCTGCTGCTTAGTCTGTTTCTGCTGCTCAGCTTCCCCCTTTCCCTTAGCGTTTTCCGGGCATTCGTTCTTGCGATGTCCCGGCCGATTGCACGCAAAGCAGCGCCCTTTGAATGGTGCTGGCAGCGGCATTTTGCAGCGACGGCACGTATCGTGGTGTTCTCGTTCGTCCCACGAGGCCGATGTCCCCAATGGCTGCTTCCGTAGGACCCCGGTCTCGGTCGGCGGTAGAAGTCAAGTTTCTCCGCCATAGCGAGAATCTCTTGAAAATCGATTACGCCGCGAAGCTGGATTTCCTGAGCGATGTCCTGCTTCATGGCCGCCGATGTAGCGGTCGATGCGCTCGCTCTCGTGCATGTATCCCACATGCTCGCATAGCGCCAGAAACCCGCTCGTATAATCCTGGACGGAGCCGAGTTGGCGCCAAGTGCGGAGCCTCTGTCGCGCCGCGATCGAAGCCGCGTTTGGCTCGAAACGAGCGCGCAGACCTGCACACCACGCGTCCCACGTGCGATACTGGGGCACCTCCACGAAATACGACGGCGCCCAGGGTCCGGTTTGTCCTTCCGTGTCGGTAGAGTCGCGTAGTCCACCGGCTTCGTGACGATGACGCGCCACCAGTCCATGGCGGGTCCTCGCAGCAACGACACGGCGTAGCGAATCTTCGCCGTATCCTTCGAGACGTAGTTCGCGTCGAAGAAGACATTCAACGTGAAGAGCCACGCCTGAACGGTAGGACCACCCCGCTGACTTGGGTCAAAGCATGGCGGAAGCTGCGGCTTTGACGGCATCGGCGACGGAAGAGTTGATCCGCCTGCCGTCACCGAAATCGTAACTTGAGGCTGCGTTCTGGCCGCATTCGTCGCGTCGGGGTGTGTCGTGCCGTGGTCGTCGTCTCCATCATGGCAGACGACGCCATCACTTGCGGCGCTCGCGGGTTGCCCCACACTCCCGTGCTGTGATGCTTGTGGTGCGGGCTGAATCGGAGTGCCAGGTGCTTGGGATTGTGCTCGTACGAGGTCGTTTTTGCAGGGACGAGCGTTCTGCCGTCAGCGTCGCAATTTTCCTCGGCGCTCTCGCGGATTTGTCGCAGCAGATCGTTCAAGTGCTCCTGCGTGAGAGTCGTGGCATCGATGTGTTCAGCCATTTCGAAGGGCGTCGGCTCGTCTTAGTCTAGGCGCAGTCGTGGCTGCACGCGTTTACGATGAGAACGCGAGGACAGCGGCTCGTAGGTGCTAAGGTACGTGAGTCCCTTCGAGTGAAAAATCAAAAGTGGATTTCCTGGGATGCGGAGATGTGCGGTCCGAAAGAAAAGGGCTCTGATAACCAAGTGTTACGGGTGCAATGAATCGAGGGTAGCGATGCACTAAGGTGTCAAACGAGTACAAAGATGTGAGCGAAGGCATGACGCGAACATTTATATGCGAAACATGCAAACGGTAACGCGGTGCGTGCGAGCTAGCTAGTGCTATGCTGGCAGCGAGGCTCGGGCTAGTCCCGAAGCGTAGGCCGACACGGCAGGGCCAGCAGTGCGAGGTTTGGCAAAACAGTGCGCGCGAAGTTGGCGAAGTCCCGTTAGCAGTAACGGGCGAACAGAGGTTGTTGCCGTACGCGATGTAGTCGGGCTCCGTAAGGAATGCCAATAAAATTCCTTACAACAAGATAATATTTTATTGTCAAAACAAGTGTTGTAATTACGGTACCAATAAGTGCATAGCATCTTCAAAGACTCACCACACATAAGGATGACAGGTTAAGAGCAAAAACTATGCTGCTGGCTCAGTTAGAATTGAAATAAGCGGATGGATGGCTATACATTATAAGCAGCCGAAACTGCCAAAACCAGGGTTAAAGAAGGTGTGAGGCAAATGCGCTCGGGATTTCCATGCCAGTGGTGGGATCTGCTGACAAACGGAGACTAAAAAATCAGCAATTTGATGTTAACCAGGGTACATGGGGTTTTTCCCTCCTTTGATTCGCCGAGCCAGTTGGATATCTCGAATCACTGGCGCCACAAAATGTGGGGTGGGGGAGGAGAGAGGGAGGGAGGAAGGGAGGAGGAGGTGGGGACGGGGGTGGCAGAATGCACAAGGGCTTATAAGCAGTGAAGAAAATGTATGATGCTATACAAGCTATCTTTTCACAGTGCAGTGGGCATCAGCCAGTTGGATGTCTCGAATCACCGGCACCACAGATGTGGGGTGGGGAAGGGAGGGGAGGAGGTGGGGGGGGGAGAGGGGGGAAGGTGGATGAGATTGGGAAAGGGGGGGCAGGGTGTGCGAGGGATCACAAGCAGTGAAGAAACTATCTTTCACAGTGCAATGGGCATCGGCCAGTTGGATGTCTCGAATCACTAGCACCACAGATGTGGGGTGGGGGAGGAGAGAGGGAGGGAGGGAGGAGGACGGGAGGAGGGGGGATGCGGGAGGGGGAGAAAGTGGGGGGCGAGAAGGGGAGGGAGGGAGGAGGGCGAGAGGAGGGAGGAGTGGGAGGAGAGGGGGGGAAGGGGTTATAAGCAGTGAAGTGTAAGCTGTTACACAAAATATCTGTATTAGTGGTCATGAACCAGTGTTATCTCTTGAATCCCACCAAAGTTGGGGGCGGGGGGAGGAGGAGGGGGGGGGGGGGGGTGAGGAAGTTGGGGCGTGACACAAAGCACGAGGGCTTACAAGCCGTGAAGACGGTGTTTGAGGCGCCTCAAAAGGTGAGGAAGTTGGGGCATGACACAAAGCAAGAGGGCTTTTGAGGCGCCTCAAAAGGTGAGGAAGTTGGGCATGACACAAAGCAAGTGGGCTTTTGAGGCGCCTCAAAAGGCGTGACACAAAGCACGAGGGCTTACAAGCCGTGAAGACGGTGTTTGAGGCGCCTCAAAAGGTGAGGAAGTTGGGGCATGACACAAAGCAAGAGGGCTTTTGAGGCGCCTCAAAAGGCGTGACACAAAGCATGAGGGCTTACAAGCCGTGAAAGACGGTGTATGGTGTTTCACGAAAACAACCCTTGCCTGGTAGTGAGAAACGACTTTTGAGGCACCTCAAAAGAAGAGGGCTTACAAGCAGTGAAGACAGTGTATGGCGTTTCAAAAAAAATAAATAAAAAAAACCCTTCCCTGGTAGTGAGCAACGAAATGCTTACTTAAAGTAACTCTTTTGGAGTGAATGGCGAGCAGAATTCCGTCTTCGAACAAGCTCACCAGGTAGGCCTCTGCTGCCTGATTTGGGGGGACGGGGGGGCAAGGGGGGATGCATAAAGCTGTTAGAGTGTATGGCGAGCAGAATGCCGTCCTCAAACAAGCTCACCTGGTAGGCCTCTGCTGCCTGATTTGGGGGGGACGGGGGGGCAAGGGGGGGTGCATGAAGCTGTTAGAGTGTATGGCGAGCAGAATGCCGTCCTTAAACAGCTCACCAGGTACGCCTCTGCTGCCTGATTTGGGGGGGACGGGGGGGCAAGGGGGGGTGCATGAAGCTGTTAGAGTGTATGGCGAGCAGAATGCCGTCCTTAAACAAGCTCACCAGGTACGCCTCTGCTGCCTGATTTGGGGGGGACGGGGGGGCAAGGGGGGGTGCATGAAGCTGTTAGAGTGTATGGCGAGCAGAATGCCGTCCTTAAACAAGCTCACCAGGTACGCCTCTGCTGCCTGATTTGGGGGGGACGGGGGGGCAAGGGGGGGTGCATGAAGCTGTTAGAGTGTATGGCGAGCACAATGCCGTCCTCAAACAAGCTCACGAGATAAGCCTCTGCTGCCTGATGGGGGGGAGAGGGGGGGAGGCAGGGGGCGGGGAGTGTGTGAACATGCTAGTGACTAGTTTCGAGTGTATGGCGAGCAGAATGCCGTCCTCAAACAAGCTCACCAGTTAGGCCTCCGCTGCCTGATGGGAGAGGAGCAAGGGGGGGTAAAACCGGGTGCTCGGGGGAAGGGCAGAAATGGGGGCACGTGGGATAGGAGCAAGGGGGGGGGGGGGGGAGGGTAAAAACGGGTGCCTTTTGAGTCGACTCAAAAGTCACCTCGGGGTCGAAGGCGGTCAAGGTTCATCGTAGCTGCAAACCTGTAGAAATCATTTAAGCAAAAAGGATCAAGACTGTAAAAGATTGCTCCCAGAAAATTCAAGTGGGGGGGTTATAAACGGGTGGTCGGGGTCGAAGGGGGATGTGCAGAAATGGTAGACGGACGGTGGAGGGGGGGAGTAGGGCAAGAGGTGGGAAAAGGGGACTGTACAAAACTCCGCCTTCAAACAAGCTCACAAGGTAGACCTCTGCGGCCTGATAAGGGGGAAGAGCAAGGGGGGTGTGTATAGTAGAGGGTGGGTGGCATGACGGTAGTGGGAAAGAGAGGTGTGGTGGGTGGGGGGTGGGACTGCTTTTGAGTCGACTCAAAAGCGGAGGTGGGGGGGCTGGGGTAGCGGGGGAAGAGGGGTGGGGGCAGGGAATGTATCGAGGATCCTGTGTGGTGAGCGTTTGACAGATCCCTGATAGCTTTTGTTCGCCCACAACCACCGCACTCACTACCCCCGCACTCCCTGCCACCGCACCCCCTACCACCGCACTCTCTACCACCGCACTCTCTTCCACCGCACTCCCTACCACTCCACACCTCCGCACACCCTATTATCGACGAACACACCACTTGCAGCCCAAGAATGGCGTCAGCGGTCCATCGCACGTCCATCATGGTGAGCGTCTGAGCGATCCCTAATAGCCCTTGATCACCCCACTCCATACCACCGCACTCCCTTCCACCGCACTCCACGCCATCACACTCCCTACCACCGCTTCCCACCTCTTGCAGCCCAAGAACGGCGTCAGCGGTCCATCGCACGTCCATCGTGGTGAGCGTGTGAGAGATCTCCTTGCACTGATGGCAACACAGGGAAGGAGAGGGAGAGGGAGAGAGGGAGAGAGGGAGAGAGGGAGAGAGGGAGAGAGGGAGAGAGGGAGAGAGGGAGAGAGGGAGAGAGGGAGAGAGGGAGAGGGAGAGAGGGAGAGAGGAAGAGAGGGAGGGAGGAGAGAGAGATGGAGAGAGGGAGAGGGAGAGAGAGAGGGGAGAGAGGGAGAGAGGGAGGAGGGAGAGAGGGAGGAGGAGGGAGAGAGGGAGAAGGATGAGAGAGAGAGAGGGAGAGGGAGAGAGGGAGAGAGGGAGAGGGAGAGAGGGAGAGGGAGAGAGGGGGAGGGGAAAGGGGGGAAACGGGGCAGCGAGGTCAGCAGTCCATCGCACGTCCATCGAGGTGAACGTATGAGAGATCTCCTTGCAGTGACGGCAACAGGTGGGAGGGGAGAAGGGAGGAGAAGGGTGGTGTGGTGTTTGGGGGAGCTAAGGGGAGAAAAAGCAGCGGGTGGGCATTCCATCGCACATCCATCGTGGTGAGCGGTGTGAGAGATCTCCTTGCAAGTGATGGCAACAGGTGGGAGGGGAGAAGGGAGGAGAAAATGCAACAAGTGGGCATTCCATCGCACGTCCATCGTGGTGAGGCGTGTGAGATATCTCCTTGCACTGATGGCAACAAGGGGAGGGAGAGAGGGAGAGGAGAGAGAGGGAGAGGACAGAGAGGGAGAGAGGGAGAGGGGAAGGGGGGGAAACGGGCAGCGGGGTCAGCGGTCCATCGCACATCCTTTGTGGTGAGCGTCTGGGCTATCCTTGCACTGGTGACGGTGGGGAGAAGAGGGGCACGGGGGAAAGAAGGAGAAAGGCACGCAGGAAGGGCGAAAGGTTGAGGGAGAGTGGGTGAAGGGGCAGTGGGGTTGGCAGTCCAGCTCACATCCCGAAGGGCACTGGTGTGGGTTTGAGCAGACCCCTTGCACTAGTGAGATCAAGGAGGGGGATGGGGGGGGCCAGCGACGGAAAGGGGGTGGAAGGAAGGTTGAGGGCAATCCGATACTGACAGGCATGAAACAAACGCATTATCGGTCAACAACTGATCTAGTATTATAAATATTATTTGCAATCAGGACCAGTAGCACAACTCAACCAATCTTCCAGCTTGATTCGCGGGCTCAAACCCCGCCTGGTCCTTTTTCACTGTCAAACACCCGAGCTCAATTTTCTGGCGTGTCCATTCAGAAGATATAAAAAGATAATTAAGAATGTTTATTTTTTGTTTTACTGACCACAGCTGTGTTCTAAATGAGATGACTGGCATTGCGAGGGAAAGGGGAAGGAGAGAGGTGAGGGAGGTGGGGGAGAGGGGGAATGGGAGGCAGCACAGAAACAGTACCAGAAGGGAAGGGCAGCTTTGGACAATCTTCCTTGCACGAGTTTAGAGATTTATTTCAAATCGACTCAAAATTTTATTTCCTGCATAGGTTTGGGAATGAATCTCAAGTCGACTCAATACTAGCCGCCTTGCACGGGTTTGGAAATACTGAAACTTACAAGTCGCATAAACGGCAGCTGCGAATGAGAAGGTCCGTGGTTTTCTGGTACCTCCTTGCATGGGCTGGGAGATGATGATTGATGAAACTCACGAGTCGCATAGACAAAACTCACGAGGCGCATGAACGGCAGCTTGCGAATGAGGAGGTCTGTAGTCTTCTGGAACCTCCTAATCTCCATTAGTGCCACTGTTCCCGGCCGGTAGCGGTGCGGCTTGCGCTTGACGCCTGATGGAGCAAGGGAAGGAGAACGCAATAGATGGAAGGGGAAAGGAAGGGGAAAGGAAGGGGAGGGGAGAGGGGAAAGGGGGGGAGGGAATGGGGGGTTAATGAGGTCCGCGGTCTTTTGATACCTCCTGATCTCCATGAGCGCCACTGTGCCCGGCCGATAGCGGTGCGGCTTGCGATTGACTCCTGGCGAGGAGGGGGAGGAAGGGGAGGGGAGGGGGAGGGGGGGAGGAGGGGGGAGAGAGGGTAAGGAGGTCCGTGGTCTTCTGGTACCTCCTGATCTCCATCAGGGAGACTGTTCCCGGTCGGTGGCGATGCGGCTTGCGCTTGACTCCTGAGGGCACGGTAAGGGCACGCAATAGGTGGGAGGGGAAAGGAAGGGGGGGCGGGAGGCTGAGGAGGTCCGTGGTCTTCTGGCACATCACAATCTCCATTATTGCCACTGTTCCCGGCCGGGTAGCGGTGCGGCTTGCGCTTGATGCCTGGCGGAGAAGGGGAAGACAAACGGCGCAAACAACCAATAGAGGGGACGGTGAGACGTCTCAGAACGAAGGGGCCGGCCTCCTTGCAGGACAACTTGTGAGGCGCGTTAATAGCGAGACAAAACGAGTTTTGAGTCGACTTTTAAGTCGACTCAAAGGCCGCCCTCTGTACAGGACAACTTGTGAGGCGCGATAGTAGCGAGGAAAACGCCTCGGCCATGCATCCAGTAAAAGAACTAGAAAACAGTAGGGCAAGAGGGGAGGTGCGGAAGGTGAGGCGGGGGAGAGAATGGTGTGGTGGGGGAGGAGGGGCGAGGAAGGCGCCTCGACCCTGCGACCAGGATGAGACGGACGGAGAAAAGAGCCAAGGGAAGGGACGGTGAGACGCCTGAGGACCTGCCGCCCTCCGTGCAGGACAACTTGTGAGGCGCGTTAAACGCGAGAAAAACGCCTCGACCCTGCATCCAAGATGAGACGGACGGCATAACGAAGGGAATCTGAGGAGGGAAGCGGCGGAAGCGAAAAGGGGTAAGGAAGGTGGAAGAGGGGGGGAGGGGGAGGGGGCGGGGGGGAAGGGGAGGGGGAATGGAGGAGGGACAAGAACGAAGCATGCGGAACGGGGATTAGAGCGAGAGACTCAGGTCTAACCACTTCACGGCTGTCAACTTGAAAGAAAGTTTGTTGTGAGGCGCCGCAAATCAGACTAGTGGCGCATTTGCGACTGTCTTTCTGACGTGACTTGGCTAGCATCATGGCTGCTAGCCCAACCTTCAGCTATTCGAGGTGACTTTCGAGTCGCCTCAGAACATACTTAGTTTTAATGGCGCATTTGCCACTGTCGTTCTGACATGACTAGCATCATGGCTGCTAGCCAAACCTTTAGGCATTTATGAATCGACTCATAAACCATCTCCTGCTAGCGCAACCTTCAAACCTTTTTTATTCGACTTGTACACCATCTCCTGCTATTCCAACTTTTGGCTTTTCGGAAATCGAGAAAAGAAACTACGGTTTAGTAATAGGCGTTACATCGAAAAATACACCCACACGGTAATCACCTCCGGGCGAGACCTCACACTCTGTTTCCGCCCGGAGCGCCTTGAATATTTCAGAACCACGGGCCGCGCTCCGTGCAGGACAACTTGTGAGGCGCGTTAATGACTCGCTTTCAAAACAGATTCAATTCCAATGGCGCATTTGCCACTGTCTTTCTGACATGACTAGGCTAGCATCATGGCTGCTAGCCCAACTTTCGAACCTTTTTTATCGACTTATACATCATCTCCTGCTAGCCCAACCTTCAACAATTCGAAAATTGGGGAGAACAATTCAGGCAAACCGCGAGGCGCTTACCTTCGGGTGCTCTGGCTGTTTTTTTTGGGAGTGCCTTTGGTGGCTTTCGCCGGCCGTCGACGTCGCCTCTGCCGCCGCCGCCTCCGCCGCCGCCGCCGCCGCTGCGGCGTTTGCCTTGCTCCGCTTGGGCATGCGCTGTTTCGACCTCGCCATGCTTAGAACGAATCAGAACTGTACGATGGGAATACTGGCGTAAAAAAACTCGTGCTATATAAGGGGCGCACAACTTCCGAGACAGATTTTCCCGACCAGTCTCGAGGGACCAACGTCTGATTTCCAGTAAACCTTAAGATCTTGTTATGAAACTTCCAGTCAACCCTTGAAAGGATCAAAAGATCTCCTCTGTCACAATGCTCCGTCAGAGCAGGGGATTTGCCAGCCGGACCAAACGCCCTTCTCTCCTGATCAAGTCTAAGAAACACAAGACTTTCTATTCCTACGAAAACGTCCGACGGGTCAATCGTATTACAACATCTACGTTTAAATTCTAATCAATTAGCTATATCGCCTGAGCGGTAAGATAAGGATAGGTCCGGTGTATCAACGAGCGACGTGATTGCAGAGTAGGAACGAAGCTGTTAGGCGTTCACTGAGCCTGTGCGTGAGGAGGAGGAAACATGAAAGCGAAGAAATCGAAGTAAAGAGCAGGTATGCAAATTGGCAGGGGCGTGCATGTCCAGGCGTGATACGGTTTAGAAGCATATCATTACGATTTAGGACGTTTCGTATGAATTCGACGCGGTCGGAAATTTTTCAAAGATCTGCGCGAAGGTATCTGTGAAGTGGAATGAAGAGCATGGTAAGTGCGTGCGCGAAAATGCAGGATGACAAAAGGTTTAAGCAGCGCGTCGACGGAGATGGAGACGCGTGGCAATCAGGTACCCACTGCCCAATCAATATAGCTTGCGCCCTTCGTAATAAGAGGCAACCTACGTGCGCGCATGATCCCTTGTTCTGAGAGATTCTTACAGGAAGGGTTTGTTTGCGAAAAAAAAAAACATAGAAACAGGTGTGGCTGTAGATTTGGGATGACTACTTGATACGTTACATATAATTATTTTGTGGGTGTAGGTGCTGTCATAGGTTAATGTTTCTGCTGCAAATACAGTCTGCATAAACATAACAGGAGGATGATTCGACAATGTAAAAAAATAATGAAACGATGAGATTAGAATCGACAAAAGCGTATGAGGGAAAACATACTGAGGGAAAACATACTGAGTGTGAACATTCGTACGTTATATCAAGCACTCATACCTAACCAAGGAACGTGGCCCTTGGCCAGGCAAGAAGACATCGTCTAATCTACTTCGGTTTTGTACGAAATTGGGTATGGGAGGGTCCCTATTTATTCTTGGATAGTGCATCGGCTTCAGTTGCAGCAGTTTCTACCGCAGCCTCTGCAGCCTCAGCCGAGCTGGCCAACCCATGGGCTTTAAGGAGTTGAGTAAAAGACTCCACTTGGGTGGCATCAATCTTGTAAGGAGAAAAAACGTGCGGACGGGAATGCCCTTGAGGTTACATCCTCTCTAAAAGCGTTCAGCGCTTGTTGAATGGCCTCGCCCACCTGGCCAAATGCTTTGCAGAACTTGGGGGTTACCTGCTCGAGATAGAAACATACACATAAACCTCGTTACAACAATGAAAAAGTGTGGGCATGTAGGAGACAATACGGACGCCCTGAGCATACAAGCAAAGCTCATACCCATCGGAATGAAATAACAACGAAAACTTCAACACTCTGCCACCATACAGCAGAGGATATCATCAGCACAAAAGTTTGACACTCAGAAAGACATGGGTGTCACACCACTTACCTTGGCATGGTGTGGATGTTGAATCATCCCCAGAAGGTCATGGTATACTAGCACCTGGATGAGAGGCAGTCATGGGTGTGTGTGGGGATGGAGAGTAGGAGGATGGTGATCAAGGTATACAGTGGAAGCGAAGCGAATCACCTTGGCATGGTGAGGGTGTTGAATCATCCCCAAAAGGTCATGGTACACAAGCACCTGGATGAGTTGAGAGGGAGACATAAACGCACATGGGGATGGATGGTAGGGAGGCCGAGGGTCCTAATACATACATGCAATTAGCTGGAACCAGAGATAGCCATGCAAGAGGCAGGGGTGGGTGAGACAGGCATGGAAGAGGCAGGCATGTTGAGGCAGGCATGGGTGAGGCAGGCATGGGTGAGGCAGGCATGGGTGAGGCAGGCATGGAGTTGGGGAGGATGTGGGGTGAAGATCAGCGCATTTTCTGAGAAGCACAGAAAAGCGCGTACAACATGAGGGATGTCGACAGCAGCTGCGCTGGCAGCAAAACATGCCCTGCTCGAAATCAGCGAGGGAAACAAAGCAGTCCACTCAGCAAGATGGTACTGAGTCGCACGCACTGCTCTATTTCCGTCACTTACCCATTAGTGAACAACCATACCCCAGATTTGAATGTCGGAAACATGAGAAGCGCCTGTCTATAATACAATTTACCGATGCCTGTGCTGGTGAATGCAACAGCCGCTGTGACTGCCCTGCCACCACTGCTGGCATGCACTCCAAGGCAGCCTGACACTGCCTCACCCTCCACCTCTCCACACCCTCCCCAACCCCCTTATCTCACCCCTTCACCTCTCCACACCCTCCCCAAACCACTTTCCTCACCCCTTCACCTCTCCACACCCTCCCCAAACCACTTTCCTCACCCCTTCACCTCTCCAACCCCCCTTACCCCACCTATCCTCACCTACCCACTGCAAAGCGGCCCTGCTCCAGTGCCGATGGTGGGAATGTCGACAGCAGCTGTGAGTGACCGCCGCTGCCACCACTGCTGGCATGCACTCCTAAGCAGGCTAGTCATGGGTGGGTCGGTTGAAATGGCAATGCCTCACCTGCCCACTGCAGAGTGGCCCTGCACCGATGCCGATGGTGGGAATGTCGACAGCCGCTGTGACCGCTGCTGCCACCACTGCTGGCATGCACTCAAGAACCACCGCGAAGCACCCAGCTTCTTGCAGGGCCTGTGCATGTTGCACGACCTGTGAGTGGGGGGTTGGCACAGTGGTTAGATGGAATGACAAGTCAACTGTCAGCCATTACTGCTGGCATGCACTCCAGCACCACCGCGAAGCACCCAGCTTCTTGCAGGGCCTGTGCGTGTTGCACGACCTGAGGGTGAGAGGGGAGGGAGAGTGGCACGGCGGGTATGTGGAGTGAGTACGTCCGCTCCCAGCCACCACCACTGCAGGCATGCACTCAAGAACCACCGCGAAGCACCCAGCTTCTTGCAGGGCCTGTGCATGTTGCACGACCTGACGGAGAGAGGGAGTGGGAGGAAGTTGAGGGAGGGTGGTTATGTGAGAACACTGCCTAGCACACACCATTCCAACACCAACAAAGCACCCAGCTTCTTGCAAGGCCTGTGCGTGCTGCCCCAGTTCCCACCTCCCCCAGTTGCCACCTCCCCCATGTCCCACCTCCCCCAGGTCCGACCTTGAGAGCGAGGGGAACAGACCTGCACTAGGATGGTACTTTCCCTCAGACTGCTGCCCCAGGAACCATCCGTGCAGTTCCCACTTTCCACTAGGTCCCAACATCCTCACATCCCACCTCCCCCAGGTGCCACCTACTCACCTTGAGGGCACTAGCAGCGGATCTGCCCTGGGGCGAAAGCCTCCCAGCGAGCTGATAGCCTGTGGAGTGAGCCCCACGTGGCCCATCACAGCTATACCCACCTCAGATACCGCCCAGCCCCAGTTACCACCTCCCCCAGGTCTTACCTTGAGCGCACTGGCAGCGGATCTGCCCTGGGGGCGAAAGCCTCCCAGTGAGCTGATGGCCTGTGGAGTGAGCCCCACATGCCCCATCACAGCTATACCCGCCTCAGATACCGCCTGCGCTGCTGCCACCCGCGCTGGTATGCCCCCCTCTATCTTAACCGCGTCCATGTTGCCTTCTTTCAACAGCCGCACTGCACTGTTCACTGCCTGAGGGATGGACAAGGGAAGAATGGGAAGGGCACAAGAGGAAAGAAATCGCAGAAGCATGGTGCATCAGCTGCTGCCACCCGCACTGGAATGCCCCCCTTGATCTTCACCGCGTCCATGTTGCCTTCTTTCAGCAGCCTCAATGCACTGTTTACTGCCTGACATAGCAGGGAGAGGAGGGGGGCGAGAGGGGATAGACTGAATTCCCCCCTCTATCTTGACTGCGTCCATGTTGCCTTCCTTCAGCAGCCGCACTGCACTATTGACTGCCTGAGGGATGGACAAGGGAAGAATGGGAAGGGCACAAGAGGAAAGAAATCGCAGAAACATGGTGCATCAGCTGCTGCCACCCGCGCTGGAATGCCCCCCTCTATCTTAACCGCGTCCATGTTGCCTTCTTTCAGCAGTCTCACTGCACTGTTCACTGCCTGAGATATCAGAGAGAGAGGGGGCGAGAGGAGATAGACTGAATCCCCTCTCTATCTTCTCCACGTCCATGTTTCCCTCCTTGAGCAATCTCACCGCACTCTCCTCTGCCTGAGAGTGCACCAAGGTGGGGGGGTGAGGAAAAGAGAGATAGACTGAATGCCCCCCTCTATTTTCACTGCCCCAGCTGCTGCCACTCGGGCTGGAATGCCCTCTTTGAGCAATCACACTGCACTCTCAACTGCCTGAAGGATTGGGCCGATAGCGGGCTCACGAGAGGAAAGGAAAAGCGTGACACACCGCCTCAGCTGCTGCCACTCGGGCTGGAATGCCCCCCTCTATCTTCACCGCGTCCATGTTGCCCTCTTTTAACAACCGCACTGCACTCTCCACCGCCTGTTAGTGCACCAGGGTGGAGAACTGCATGCCACCCTCTATCTTCACTGCTTCATGTTGCCCTCCTTCACCAGCCGCACTGCTTTGTATACCGCCCGTGAGTGCACCAGGGGTGGGAGGGGGGGAGAAGAGATGAATTGCATGCTCGCCTATAACTGCGTCTGTTCAATGTGGCAGCTTCCCTCTTTCAACAACCACATTGCACTCTCCACTATCTTCAATCGCTACCATCTCTGCTCTTCTGCTGCCATCTCTGCTCTTCTGCTGCCATCTCTGCTCTTCTGCTGCCATCTCTGCTCTTCTGCTGCCATCTCTGCTCTTCTGCTGCCATCTCTTCTCACCTCTTGTGATCTCCTCTCATCTGCTGCAATTTCTGTTCACCTGCTCCCATCGCTCTTTAGCCTGCTCTGATCTCTGAAACATGCTCACCTGCTGTGGGCTCTGCTCGTATGTGCCAAAGGGAAGGTCACCAACAAGCAACGGCCGAGAGGCTCCCCGTGCCACCGCCCTGTGGGGGAGTGACCAAGATACCAACGAGAGGTAGGGAGAGAGGGTGGATGGGGAGGGAGTTGGTCACTCAAGTTTCAACATGATCACACCCATTACAGTCACGCATGCATATATTCATCTGCATTATGATTACCTGCAGTGCGGCAGCATGTCTTCCAGTGTGGTGGGCAGAGTGGTGTCTCATATCCATGCACCACCATGGCTGCACGCATTACTCAACTGTCAATACAATCACACTCGTTACAGTCACACAGGCATGAAATCACATGCAGTATAATCACCTGCAGTGCAGCAGCATGTCTTCCAACGTGATGGGCAGAGTGGTGTCATACCCATGCACCACCATGGCTGCTGAATCGCCCACCAGGCAGATGTCTATGTCCGCCTGGGGGGTGAATGGGCGGAAGGAAAGAGGGGGAGAAGAAGTAGTGGGGAAAGGAGCTGGGGACGAAACAACGCGCAGCCATGGCTGCAGGGAGGGAAGACGGGGGTTTCACACCACCATGGCTGCTGAGTCGCCCACCAGGCAGGTGTCTCTGTCCGCTTGTGCAAAGAAGCGTGAAGGGGCTTGGAGAGCGGGAGGAGAAGCCTGAGAAAAGAGGCGCAGGAGGAGCAGCTGACTCAGGAAAGAAAGAGGACCACCATGGCTGCTGAATCAGCCACCAGGCAGATGTCTATCTCCGTCTGATATAGGCTTTAAGGGACATGGGGGAAGGGGGAGGGGGGAGGAAGAAAGGGGGAGGGGGGAGGAAGAAAGGGGGAGGGGGGCCGGGGAGCAGGATGAGTAAAGAACGTGGGAGGGCAATAAACCCTGAACCTAGAAAGAAGGAGGAGCACCATGGGTGCTGAGTCCACCAGGCAGATGTCTATGTCCGCCTGAGGTTTAAGGGACATGGGGGAAGGTTGAGCAGGAGTAAAGAGACGTGGCAGCAGCAGATGATTCAGGAAGAAAGACTGGAGATACTATATGTCCACCTGGAAATGGTTGGTAAGATGGGGGAGGGGAGGAAGGGGGGTTGGGGGTGGGTGCAAATGCGGATGGAGGAAAGGTGGTGGGTATCAGAGGGAGGCTAGGAATGAAGGTGCACCACCACCATCGCTGCTGACACCAAGCACATGCATATCCCCACATGCCCACACATCACCATGACTTCATGCCCACCCCACCCACCACTCACCATGTCCACATGCACGGCGGAGGGGTAGTCATAGGCCGTGACCATGACGATCGGCTCGCCCCGCCGGTACTTGCTCCCCACCTGCTGCAGCGTCACCCGCTGCCGCCCCGCCTCCGGTTTCGGCCCGCCATACACCGTGCTGTCTGGAAGGTTGGAGAAAGGCCGACAAAGGGATGGCGCTCTGCCATAGAATGTGGTGTCTGAGTGGTTGGTGAGTGATCGATGAAGGGAGGATGGATGGAGGAGCGTTCTGCTACACGCAGTGCTCTGTGGGAGGCTGGAGGAGTATCGGCAGAGGAAGCTTCGCCCGGGGCTGATGAGGTGAGAGGACTGGTGTTGAGTGAGCGAGGGAGGCGGATGGGAGGAGGATGAGGAGGGGCAGGGTGGCAAGGGGTAGGAGCAGGGAGACGATGCTGGCCGCGCGGATGGCGTGATGGTGGAAGCAAGATGAGGAGAGGAGGACGAAGCAGTGGGAGTGGGGGAGTGGATGTCATGGTAGATGGAGGAGAGGGAGCGGGGTAAGACACGCGGGAGCTGCAGTGGGTAAGGGAGAAAAAGGATGAAAGAAGGGAGTAGGAGAGGGGAAAGTAGCTTGTGACGGATTGGCACAAGGGAGGTGCGATGTCTGCGAAAAAGCGACGAATCCCCATCAGAAAAGGAACTTGAAGGTGACTGTTATAGCTCGCAGACAAATCTGAGCGATGCGAATAGGCTCAATGACCACTGGGAGAAAGACGAGCGTCCATGAAACCAGCAGAAATAAAATACACTCACGGATGGGATCGAAATTCACACCATAGAACGACTCGTTCGGAATAAGTACGTTTTTGGTGAACCAGCACGCACCAGTGCTGACAACACGGCTGGGAAATGACTGGATGGCGTCAGCTGCTGTAGTTGCTGCGAGCGCAACGCCATGACGATAAATGTACCGAACGACCTTTGAGTCGACACGGTCAGGAGACAACGGACAAATGCAAGCGGTGAGAGTTTCGGTCGATTCCGACCGATGAATCAAAAGACGAATTTTAAGAGAGCCCCGGAGTTCCGTTAGCTCGACCAGGAGACGGCGGGCTCGTAATGCAAACGGTGACGGATACGGTCGATTTGAACCGACGATTTTATAGGGAAGCTGCTTAGGAATTTGCGGAAAATGGGCCGCACTTAGTCCGCGGTCGCTAGTGGTAGTCAGATTTCCGTTTCCAGCATCGTCCAGGCGTCCCAGAGTGGCTTAGCGTCCCGCGGCAACACGCATTCGAATGCTCGTGGAGCTTTGTGACGCTAATCCAAGCAGTCTGTACCTCGAGAAAGCCGCGACATCGAGTTCTGCTGGGTTCTTGATTCTTTCTAGGAATCTGGAAATCTGGAAATCTCTCCTGCTCTGGCTTCCCCCACGGTAATTCCAGGGAAATTTTTTGTGCTGTATCCAGAGGGACAAATGAACTGTCGCCAACAGAACAATCGAGCCGAGATCACGAAATTCAGGTTACCAGCTCCTTTTCCAAAGTAGTATGCGAAACGAAATCGGCGTGAACTCCGTTGATCAACCGAAGCACGATGGCTTCGCGAAAGAGCCGTTGCAGATTGCGAATGGCAGCGTCTCCCCTCCCTCCCAATTTTCTGAGCTTTCCTTGGTTCTACCAGTCATGTCACTAGAAAATTAGAGTTTCAGGTGCTCGTCGCTCTTTGCTCCTCACTCCCCGCTCTTCGTTCTTCGTTCCTGACTCCCGCTTCGTTCCTCTTGAAGTCTATTCTACTAGCACGTTGACAATTCCTGGTCTGCGTTGTACCTCGCTTCGGATGTAGGCTCATAAGACACCAAGCCCGACGGAGTTTGTGCATAGGCAATCACTAGAAGGCGCGAACCGTGGTTCACATAAGCAACGGTGTATTGCCGAAAATGGCGGAGCGGGCTCTAACGCAAAGAATAGCCAGCACCGTTGGCGGCTTGATAGGCAACGAGAAGAGATTGCAAGCCGTAAGTAATCTCGTTTCACGGTCTAGGTCGCGACGTCGCTACCTCCTGCAGTCTCAGCCGCTGACGCCTCACATGGCTGGTGTTCCAATCCTCGATATATTTCAAGAAGTGAATCAGGCTTGATGTAGGCGAATCTCAGCCGTTAAAGCCTCCAATGTCTGTCGTCTTGTCGCCTTCAACAAATTCCATTCGTTCAGCTCATATCCGTCATCATTTTTCGTCATCCAAAGCTTTTGTCGTTGGTCGTTTGATGTTGTCGGCTTCAAGAACTTCCACTTCTGCAATGTCCGTTGCGCTTTCCCTCATCCGATTTTCAGCCTGTAGAATCTGGATGACGAAAAGCGATGACCGATTCTTCTAGTTGATCTGATGCACATCCTGAGGCACATCCATCGCATAATGTGCCCTTTCCCCTCCCTCCATGCTCGCCGACTGCTAGCTGCTCCGTGCAGCTGAAGCTGATAGCAGAGGCGATACGCGTCCCCTTTTCCTTCACTCTGCCCTCCCCCTCTCTCCGTCTGTCCATCCTTGTACCCTCATCCCTCCCAACTGATCACTCCACAGGAGATAGAGAGCAGCTCCGTTCAACTGAAGCTGCTAGCTGAGGCGATGGCGAAAGAGGGCAAGATGGAAAGGGTGAGAGGAGAATCAGTTAAAGCATGAGAAGAGAAGGGAGGAACGGGGGAGGGGAAAGGGGGGTGGGGTTTTGAGCTGTAGAAATCAATTGGAGGTGGTAGTGGGGAGAAGAGCACATGGGGTGGACTTGGGAAAGATCAATGCGGGTGGTGGGATGTGTTGCTTGGCTCTTCTGTCCGCCTTCCTCTACCTCTCCTCCGTCTGCATTACACCCTTGGCTGTTTCATTCATACCCTCGTTTATGTTGCACCCTTGTCATTTTCACACCCTCGTTACTGTCACACCTGCAGGTGGCGGAGCTAGAGGCAATGACTCACAAGGTGGTGGAGACGGTTCATGAGATGGCTGAGAAAGAGACAGCTACCATACACTCTCGTTTGTGTCACATCCCTGTTTGTGTGACATCCCCGTTTGTGTCACACCCTCTTTTGTGTCACACACAACCACAGGTCGCGGAACTAGAGCCAATGACTCGGAAGGTGGTGGAGACGGCTCATGATGCGGCCCAGTAAGAGACAACTATCAGTGCATTCTCATTTGTGTCACACTCACGTTTGTGTCACGCCTTCCTTATTGTCACACCCACAGGTGGCGGAGCTGGAGGCAATAACTCGCAAGGTGGTGGAGACGGCTCATGAGATGTCTGAGAAAGAGATAGATAGCTACCATACACTCTCGTTTGTGTCACTCCCCTGTTTGTGTGACATCCCTGTTTGTGTCACACCGTCTTTTTTGTCACACACAACCACAGGTGGCGGGGCTAGAGGCAATGACTCGCAAGGTGGTGGAGACGGCTCATGAGATGTCTCTGCATCAGCAGGCATTGGAGGCAGTGCGCGACAGCTATCAATACACTGGAACAGTAATGTACTCGTTATAAACATGCACTCGTTATCGACATGTACCACTTGTTGTTAGGTTGTGCTGCGTTAGAGAGTAACGGCTCATGAGATGTCGCTTCACCAGCAGGCTTTGGAGGCAGTGCGAGACAGCTATCAATACACTGGAACAGTAATCTACTCGTTATAGACGTGCACTCGTTGTAGACATATACCACTTTTTCTTAGGTTGTTGTGCTGCATTAGAGAGTAACGGCTCATGAGATGTCTCTGCACCAGCAGGCTCTGGAGACAGTGCACGACAACCATCATAACACTGGAACAGTAATGTACTCGTTATAGACGCGCACTCGTTATAGGCATGTACCAGTTTATGTTAGGGTGCATGAGAGAGTAACTGTTTATGAGATGCACTACACCAGCAGGCGCTCTAGGGAGTGTGAGACAGATACTCCCAGTATCAATATGTAGATTCGTTCGTTATCAGGCTGTGCGTTAAAGAGCAACGGCTCATGAGATGGGATGGCGCTGCATCGGCAGGTGCTGGCTGGAGGCAGTGCGGGACAGCTACCACCACTACAGTTTTGAGGCGCCTCAAAACTAGACCAGGTGCTGGCTGGAGGCAGTGCGGGACAGCTACCACCACTACAGTTTTGAGGCGCCTCAAAACTAGACCAGGTGCTGGCTGGAGGCAGTGCGGGACAGCTACCACCACTACTGTTTTGAGGCGCCTCAAAACTAGACCAGGTGCTGGCTGGAGGCAGTGTGGGACAGCTACCACCACTACACTGGAACATTATTGTACTTGTTCTTATAATCACATGTCCCTCTTGCTATTAGGTTGCATGCTCGTGAGATTTCCCTGCACCAGCAGGCACTGCACCACTAGTGTATCGATAACTGTTTCGAGTCCAACGGCTCATGAGAGTGACTTCTGGTCACACGAGCTGCAGCATGCCACGCAACCTGTTCTTCCTTTCCACCCCTCTCCACCCCTCCCCACCTGTCTCCACCGCTCCCCACCCCTCCCCACTGCTCCCCATCCCCCAGCCCACCAACTTTGAGGAACTCTTGCAGCAGCAGGTGGCAGAGATAGGGGCGGCTCAGCCGTTCCTTCCCACCCCTCCCCACCCCTCCCCATCCACAGCCCACCAACTTCGAGGAACTCCTGCAGCAGCAGGTGGCACAGCTAGGGGCGGTACAGCTGTGCCTCTGCACCCCTCTTCACCGCTCCCCACCTCTCACCACCCCTTCCCATCCTCCAGCCCACCAACTTTGAGGAGCTCTTGCAGCAGCAGGTGGCGCAGCTAGGGGCGGCTCAGCCGTGCCCGGAGGATCACCACATTCTGGTGGCGTTCCGACAAACCATCCGGGTGGGTTGTGAACGGTTCAGGGGTACATGGGTGTTGAATAGAGAGGGGAAATGACACGGGAGGTTCAGCCGTGCCCGGAGGACCACCAGATTTTGGTGACGTTCTGGCAAACCATCCGGGTGGGTTGGGAGTGGTATTGAGGGTTAAGTGGGTGTTGGATAGGGTGGCTCAGCCATGCCCGGAGGACCACCACATTCTGGTGGCGTTCCGGCAAACGATCTGGGTGGGTGAGAAGGGGACAGGATGTTGAGATCGTAAATGATGAATCATGGTGTCATGAAGTCATGGTATCATGAAGTCATGGTATCATGAAGTCATGGTATCATGAAGTCATGGTATCATGAAGTCATGTTATCATGAAGTCATGGTATCATGAAGTCATGGTATCATGAAGTCATGGTATCATGAGCATGCCTGCTCCCTCCTCCCTGCTGCCAATTCCTCCGCATGCTTACTTCCCCTCGTCCCCTCATGCCAGAGTGCGAGGCAGGGGGGAGAAGGTGGGGGGGATGATGATGACGAGGACGATGAAGTCATGATGACAACCAATCTGATTGTGAAAAATACCAACTGCCCAATCACAATGCGCCATGTGGAAGAGCTGGATGACCCTGTCTGTTGGTGAGAAGAAATAAGCATTCCTTTCTTTTCTTAAGCCTCCACACTTGTAGATACCTTTTGCTGGCAAAAGAGTTTCTGTATGCGTGCTGGAGAGCATTTTGATTTTGATGGTAGTGGCTGTGCTCTCGGCTGCTGATAACTCTCTCTCTTGCCCCTTTTCCCCCCCTCCCTCCCGGAACCACATCACCTCCCCCTTTCTCCCCCACTCCCTCTCCCCCTCCACCCCCTCCTTTCCAAAGCACATACCCTCTCACCTCTAATTTCCGACCCAAACACCCAATCACTCTTTCCCCTCCCCCCCTTCGCTCTCCCCCCTCCCTGCTCTTCTCAGCTTGGATTGTCGCCACGTCT